TATATATATATATATATATATATATATATATATATATATATATATATATATATATATATATATATATATATATATATATATATATATATATATATATATATATATATATATATATATATATATATATATATATATATATATATATATATATATATATATATATATATATATATATATATATATATATATATATATATATATATATATATATATATATATATATATATATATATATATATATATATATATATATATATATATATATAATTTTTTTCTTAATTATTAATTATGGTCTTTTTTGTAAAACTTTAATATTAAACAATATTTCATATTATAATATACAATGGCATTTACTTATTTAATTATTTATTTATTCTTATTACGATCGTTGCTTTATTTAGTAGGTATTTCTAGGCAGGGATAAAAAGGTTAGCCTTATTTTGGTCTCATAATGTTATGTGTGAGGAGTTTAGTCAGTTGGTGCGACTAAGGACTTCCTTGACAAGCTTTCCTTTGGGTGACAAGCATGTCAGTACATTCCAGTGTTAGTTAGCCACCATGGATATAAGGAGAACACTGATTTATCTATACCTTGAAAGAGAGCTATCTAGGGAGCAGACGCCCCCTGATATCATTTTGAAACATTTCAGAAGCAACTGAAATATAGAAGATTTGGGGTTTAGGCACAAAAATCACAGAGTATTAATTGTTAAATGACTATTCTTGTCATATATGCACACTCACTTTTCTATTACAACATTGCACGTCTTCTACAATCCAAACAGGGACATAATAAAGCAGGGGTGTCAAACTCACATTCGGCCTTCAATATCATTTAATTTTGAACATGATTCACACCAAATGTGAATTTAAGTACATTGAATAACTGACATTGAGTAAATGTTACGGTCGTGGTTAGCTCAACTTGTTTTTGTTGCGTTTGTTTTAAGTAATGTTATAGTGTTTATTATACTTAAAAAAGGCTGGAAGTTGACTTAACTTAAAACATCCAGTGCAGCAGGCTTGCCTCACTTTTTGTAAGGTAGATCTAGGTATTACTTTTTAGAGTGTATTTGTGCATATGGGCTAAATCACATACAAAGTCAATGCAAACTTGGCAGTGTGAATGATAAAGAATGCACAATGCGTTAGCTGCAAATGCGCAGAATTTATCTCAATTGTGTCTTTCTTTCAAGTTCAAGGTGGTCATTATACATAGCAATATATATATATATATATATATATATATATATATATATATATATATATATATATATATATATATATATAGCAATTTAATAAAAAGTCCATGCTCCTTTTCATCGTACACTCACCGGCCACTTTATTAGGTACACCTGTCCAACTGCTTGTTAACACAAATTTCTAATCAGCCAATCACATGGCAGCAACTCAATGCATTTACGCATGTAGACATGGTCAAGAAGATCTGCTGCAGTTCAGCCTGAGCATCAGAATGGGGAAGAAAGGTTATTTAAGTGTCTTTGAGCAGGGCATGGTTGTTGGTGCCAGACGGGCTGGTCTGAGTATTTCAGAAACTGCTGATCTACTGGGATTTTCATGCACAACCATCTCTAGGCTTTACAGAGAATGGTTCTGTGGGCGCAAATGTCTTGTTGATGCCAGAGGTCAGAGGAGAATGGCCAGACTGGTTCTAGCTGATAGAAAGCCAACAGTACCTCAAAAAACCACTCGATATACACCCGGGGTCTGCAGAAGAGCATCTCTGAACTCACAACACGTCCAACCTTGAGGCGGATGGGCTACAGCAGCAGAAGACCACACCGGGTGCCACTCCTGTCAGCTAAGAACTGGAAACTGAGGCTACAATTCACACAGGCTCACCAAAATTAGACGATAGAATATTGGAGAAACGTTGCCTGGTCTGATGAGTCTCGATTTCTGCTGCAACATTCGGATGGTCGGGTCAGAATTTGGCATCAACAACATGAAAGCATGGATCCATCCTGCTTTGTATCAATGGTTCAGGCTGCTGGTGGTGGTGTAATGGTGTGGGGGATATTTTCTTGGCACACTTTGGGCCCATTAGTACCAATTGAGCATCATGTCAACGCCACAGCCTACCTGAGTATTGCTGCTGACCATGTCGATCCCTTTATGACCACAGTGTACTCATCTACTGATGGCTACTTCCAGTAGGAAAACATGTCATAAAGCACGAATCATCTCAGACTGGTTTCTTGAACAATGACAAGTTCACTGATCTCATATGGCCTCAACAGTCACCAGATCTCTAATAGACTAATAAAGCGGCCAGTGAGTGTATATTGTGTATAAACTACATCTCCCATAGGTTTGTTTTGAGATCCAGCTTAAAATTTCTAGTTGTTCCATATTTCTGCTTATCTCAAATGTGACGAAGTTTTGGAGAAAGGTAATAATGTGTCTCATGATATTTGTCTTTCTTATTTACTTTGATAGAGTAATGTCGCCAACCTGATTTCACCAAGTAGGACATGTTCCTGCATTAACATCTATGTTGATCCTGGAACAACATTTCAATCAGCCAATCAAAATTAAGGGATATGTTTACAGTTTATGTTAAGCTTAGGCTGACGTTTAGGTTTATGTACTTCTACATGATTGTTATCCAACTATTATTCCCCACTGATTTTGGGAATAACTTACAGTTATGGTTGGGTTTAGGGGTCGGGAAACGTTATGGATTTCATATTCGAGCAAAAGGATCAGCATAGATGTTAATCCAGAATCACATCATACTTGGCAAAATCATGACATGGAGGTAGTTTGGGTTTCTTAACCTGATAAAATGATTCCTTTTGAGATAACGCAAGGACATAACATTTGTTTTACATTTATGCAAATACATGCATTTATCGGTTACTTATTTAACAGTATGTTAAAGGACAAGTTCACCCAAAAATGAAAGTTCTATCATCATTTACTCACCCTTTACTTCATCCACATAACAACACGTTTTGAGTTTCTTTTCTAAGATGTTTAGAAAAATAGTGGAAGTCTGTAACCATTGACTTCCATATTTTTTTGTTTTTTCCTACTAAGGACGGTTGCTCAATGGTTAGCACACTGTAAAAAAAAAAAAAAAAAACTAATTTTACCGAAAATATCCCTAAATTTTTTACAGTAATTTTTTGTAATTTAAAATTATATGTAGAACTTAGTAAAATGACAAACAATCTCTCTAAATGAACAGTTTAACTTTAATTTTAGGTACTTTATCATTAAAGACAAATTACTGACATTTTTGTTTTTTATACAGGGAAATTACAGTATTATTTATACAGTGTTTTTTCTGTTATTTTAAATTATATTCAAAAATCCGTAAAAATTACAAACAATATCTGTAAATTAACAGCTTGACTGTTATTTTATGTACTATATAAGTAATGACAAATTACAGCAATTTGTCTGTTTTATATAATTAAATTGCTGTATTATTTACAGTGTTTTTTCCTGTTTTTTATGAAGTACATTTAAAATTACGTAAAATTAAAGTAATAAATTGTAATTACTTGCTCTGTAAAAAAAAAAAAAAATCATAAAAAAGGTCAAATGACTGGCAGCTACGGCTGCCAAACAAAAACCATAAAATTTTGGTAATTTGCATTGTTTGGTTATTTTTTTTACGATTTTTTTTTTCTTACAGTGCACTGTCACCTCACAGCAAGAAGGTCATTGGTTTGAGTGCTGGCTGGGCCAGTTGGCATTTATGGCATTTATGACTGTTGGCATTTCCCCCCACAGTCCAAAAACATGCGCTATAGGTGAACTGGATGAACTAAATTGGCCAAAATGTATGAGTGTGAATGTGAGAGTGTATGGGTGTTTCCCAGTACTGAGTTGCAGCTGGAAGGGCATCTTCTATTTAAAACATATGCTGGATAAGTGGTTTATTAGGCAGTTTATTTCGCTGTGGGACCCCTGATGAATAAAGGGACTAAGCTGAAGGAAAACGAATGAATGAATAATGCCCCATTCACACGGGGCGTCAGCATCAATGCTTCGTATTAACTTTAAATGGGTGACGTCGGGCATTGCCGAACTGCATTGTGGATCCGTCGGCACCGCTGCAGAAGTTGGGACTAGCTCAACTTTTTAAGCTTCAATGGAAGCGTCAGCCAATCAGATCACTGTATGCAAATACACCAGCTAGACAGTAGCCTATTGCTGACTGAATTTCATTGGCTGACGCTGCTATGACGATCCCATTAGTCCCAACTTCAGACACGCCTTCAGTCAAGCGTTGACGCTGAAGCCCTGTGTGAATGGAGCGTAAAGGTTTGTACCAACTCAGGGTGAATAAACAATGATTATTTTTTTTATTTTGGGCAGAACTATCCCTTTGACACTCCTTCATCTTTATATATGTCCTTCATAAATGTTTGGAGTACCTTGAAGGTGGGTTAATAGTGAGAACATTTTCATTTTGGGTGAACCATCCCTTTAAGGAGTAGTACCATTATCCAACCCATTGAGGGAAGCCATAATGCTGAAGTAGCCCTCGATGAAAATGAGTTTACCACCCCTGTAATGAAACGTAATAAATCTGGTCCTCACCACAGACTGAGTTGACCTGGATGGTGCCGAGGTGATGGGGGTTATCGTGATGCTACTGGTCACCTTTCCCTGGATCATGTTCCCGATATTAGCAGACGTCTGTCTAGGAGAACGCAGAACCGTCCCTGTTGGCATCTCCTTACCGTCTGAACTCAACCCATTAGGCCAGACGGTCACGGTGCCGCTTCGCTCATCCTGAGCTTTCTTGAACCCAGGTGACCCCAGGTGGATATGGATCTTGTTGTCCTCTGTGGTTATAATATTAGAGTTGTATTTGCGGATGGGTGAAGGAACTGTCTGCTTTTCAGGAGTCAACTTGAATACCGCTCTACCCATGGTCATCTCATGGGGCTCCGGGGATGTTTGGGACACCGGGGTCGCACTAACAGTTATAATAGACAGAGGAGAAGTGGGATGCTCTGAGCTTTTGCTTGGAGATTTAGCTCTGGAGATGGCAGTTATGGTGACTGGAGACTTCATTCGTTCTGTTGCCCCTTCGTTGACCTTCGATTTTGGCAACATGGAAGTAGGAACGATTGTTATGCGAGGTTTTTGGAGCCCAAGAGTTGGGATGATAGTAGTGCTAGAGAAGAAATCCTCAGCACGTGGACTGGTGATCTCCAATGTGGCAGTGCTGCTTAGATGGTCTGGAGTCACCTTAATATGAAGGGGCTGACCTGTTTTCTGAGACATGGTTATTTCTGGTGACTGTCGTGATGTTGTTCCATTGACCTGTTGGGTTGCAGGAACATCCTGAGTGATTGTAACAGCTTCTTTCTTCTTGATCCAAGGGTTCCAAGACTTTCTCATCCCCAAATCTGTAGCTGCCGGTGGATAACGGTCCAACACAGTTGGCTTCTTAAGACCTTTCTGCCTCAGATTACTCATGATGTGATTTTCCTCCAGAACCGACTTCTGAATAAACACTGCCGGAGTCTCATCTTCGGTGTATTCGTTTATATCTGCGTCAGTCTGTACTGCTGTGGAAGTAAGAGGAACGTCAACAATCCTTCTTCCATTCATGCTGGGTCTAAGGGCACGGCTGTAACGTTTGGTAGCCTCCAACTCTTTGGTTAATTTGACAACCTCTTGACTCATGTTTTTCTTTTTATCCTCTTCCTCAACAAACCTCTGCTGGAGAACAGTGTAGTCCACTTGAAGTTGAGAGAGTTGGTCCTCCTTGTTCATAAGCTCGTGGATCTTCTCCTTTAGTGCCTCTACGTCAGCTTTGAGATCTCTTGTTTTGGCCTCCTCAATCTTGCAGCGTAGCCTCAGCTCAGCTTCTTGGCTCACCAATTCTCCTTTTTCTATAGCCTTGTTCTTGGTGATCTGCGACTTCATTTCCTCTAGGAGTTGGGAAAGAGTGTTAGCCTTGTCTTGCTCAGTTCTGAACTTCTTCTCAAGCATGTCATACTCATCTTCAGTCTTCAACAAATCACCTTCCACCACTTCAAGTTGTTTAAGACGGTTCCTGAGTCTCTCAATCTCCACTGTGAGCTCCTTAACCTTGTTGTCCTCTTCAGCAAATCCAACTTTGTCCACATTCGCTCGGTTTCTTGAATACTGCCACTCAGCCTCCTCTTGCTCATCCATTTTGCTTTGCATCTGACATAACTTTATGCTGAGATCCTGTCGCTTCTCTTCCTCACTTGCAAGTTGAGACTTCACGTCATCTTTTTCCTTAGTAATAGCCGACACTTTGATCTCCATTTCGGACTTCAGTTTAAGAAGCTTCTTACTTTCCTCAATTAGCTTTTCCGTGACCTCCATGACCTTGCATTGCTCTGCTTTAAACAGCTTGTTCAACTCTTCACTTTTCAGCTCTTCTTGCTTGATTCGCTCTGCCATGCTCTTCCTCTCATCCATCAGGATCACCGTGAAAGACTTTAATTTGGTCAAGTCGTCTTTTAAACCCACCTCTGCCTTTTCCAGTCTCGATTCTGAACATTCAAGATCTTTAATATGGTTTTTCACCATTTCCAACTCACACGCCAAGCTCTTCGTCAAGGTTCTTTCTTTCTCCAGGTTGGAGTGCAGCTGGGAACATTCAGATTTGCTCACATTAAAAGCTCCCTCCAGTTTCTCCATGTCCACCATCCTCTTCTGGAGTTTCTCAACCTCCAGTTTCAGCTCACGACTGTGATTTTCCTCATCCTGAAGCCTCCTCTTTAGCTCCTTACACTGTGCTTCTGTTTTTGTGATCTCCTCATCCTTGCCCTCCATTTCCAGAACTCTCTTCCGAAGGTTTTCCAGCTCAGCCATTAGACTCGAGTTCCCACATTCTCCTCTGCTTATTTTGTCCCGCAGGTCTTGAAGGTCCTCCTCAGACCTCTGCAGGGTGCGATTGGTCTCCTCCAGCTCCTCAATCCTGCGGGACAGGCCGGCCAGCTTTAGTCGCAGCTGTCGACTTTCAGACTCCTGTTTGGCCAGCTTGGCGGTCATCTCCTCATGTTCCTGCAAAAATTTAAAGGCCTTATGTTCAATGTCGAGCTCCAGTCTCTTGATCTCCTGGCTGTCTTCTTTAGCTTTGCTGTTGATGATCTCCAACTGCTGCTCTTTTTCATGTAGCTTTTTGCCAAGATCCTGGACCCTCTGTTTCTGCTGGTCAATCTGTTCGATGTGAAGCTGCCTTTCATCCACAAGCATCAGGGCAAATGATTTCAACTTTACCAACTCCTCCTGAATTTTTTCAAGACGTTTGCTGTGATCCTTGTCCTTGCGAGCCTGGTATGCCTTCTCTTGCTCCAGCAGTCTCTTGAGTCTGGCGGAAACAAAGACAAATACATTCACATTAAATCACAAATATATTCACAATCAAATTAAAGGTCAAATTTTATATCTAGTATTTATTACTATTATCATTGTTACTATTATTTTATTTATTTATTCATTTATTATTAGAAATATTATTATTATTAATGCTTTTATTATTATTGATTAATTAATAATATATATATATATATATATATATATATATATATATATATATATATATATATATATATAG